TTTCTTGTCAAGGATGCAATAGGCTCAAATCACAAAGCTAATGCACCAAGATAAAGATACTTATTTTAAAAAAAATGTGCCAGTTATTTTTAGTATAGTTCATTTAAATATGAAAATTACAGTCACCTTGCTGAGATTGAGTGCCTTATGCTTATGTAAATATTTTTGATTGAAGCCTAGTGAATTATTTTACAGTGTGCTAACTGGGACAATGGAATGTCACAGAAACTCATATTCTATACTTTTATATCTTCTATACCAGTGTTTCTCAACCTTTTTTCAGTCAAGGCTCCCTTTGAAATCATGGACAGTCCTGAGGCACCCTTTAAAATTATGGAAAGTCTTGACGCACCCCATTCTAAAATTGGGTGTCTCTAGACTGTCCATAATTTTAAAAGGGCACGCCATTTTAAAATGTATAAAACTATTCTAATAGTTTTTATATAACGCAGCAACATCCACACATGTAGGACACCCAACATTGGAGGGGATTTATCCTTCCAAAGAAAATACACTTTTGCACACTGGTACTGACTAGTATTCCAATGTTTCTCTTCTCCCTCAGTTTTTCTCCATTACTGAGCTAATGTGACCCCAGCACTGATAGAGAGGGGCAGGGGAAGGTCAAACAGGGATGCTGGGCAGGCAACTGACATCCTCCTTATCAACTGATGATGCCATTGGTTGTGAGGATGCCGGCGGCTAGAAGGTCCTAATGGTGCACAATGAAAACCTGTGGCTTTGTGTAACTAAAAGGCAGGCTTGTTCCATCTGCTGGCTTGTATACAAGTTTTGGGCAATTTTTAGACATTTTGCCAAAGCACCCCTGAAGAAACCTTAAGGCACCCCAGGGTGCCCGGGCACCCTGGTTAAGAAAGGCTATTCTATACTTTAATACATTTCTCTGAGATTATTACTGTATATTTTAGGCCTAAAAAGTAACAGACCAGAAAAGATTGGAGTGCTTTGTTTCCCCAGATGTGACATTAGACAGGTATTTTCTTTTGGATTGTTTTTACCACTTCCCCTGTGAGAGGTAGTCTCAATTTCATGATTTCATGTCTTATTCAGTGGAATACAGTGCATTACTATATTTTGATATATCCATGTTTCTTTTCTTGTATCCTCTGTGACATGTTTCTACAGGAAACCAGTCAACAGAAAAATACAGTATGTAGGCGGCTCTTGCTGAGCTCTCCTTCTCCAAAGGTTTCTTTTTTAGCTATCTTGCATGTGCTCATTCTCCAATATGTTGACTCAAGTATATAGTTAAGAAATGTGAGGTTTGATATTATATTATAATTTTTATTCTGTATGCTTTTGGAAGTCAAACAGCCTGGCAACTAGCATTTTTAGAAACACCCCAGCAATGTTAGCCCCTGTATTTCCCACATGATGGGTGTGTGTTAAGGCCAACTTGCATTGGTTATTTTTCATATATCCATAGAATAGTTTTAGTAACATTAGATAAAAAAGTTAAAATGGACTTTTTTCTGTTAAATATGTATTTACATTAATACCAGAGAAATGCATAAAAAGAAAAGTGCTGAATTGACACACTGATATGTTTCTCTTAGCACTCCAGTCTACTTTTATCTCTTTCATGTATTATTCAGTGTGTAGGCAGATTTTCACCCTACAGTGTGTATACTATGTTTCAACATCCTTCATTAATTCTGCTGTGTAAGTAATGGGAAAGGAGCAAACTCACAGCTGTGAAAGAGTTGCAAAAATAATAAATCTCATGTCCTGCTTTCAGTGTCTCTTCCACATCTACACCGGAGCTGCTTTTACAAAATGACGATTTATGAACAAGCAGCTTTCAATGTATTAAAATGGAAAACTGCAATAAATCGAATGCTGGAATAGTGATGCAAGAAGAATAATTGGTTGAATGTAGTACAGAGAAAAGAAAATAAATAGGGGAAGATGTCTATGTGTACCAGTTTGTTTTGTGGGAAAATGTTGGAAGCGGTGTTATTCTTTAACTACTTCAAGACCTGTATGTTACATCTCTTTCACATTCAGACAAGTTTTTTAGTTTTAAGTGCTGTGATAGTTTGATTGATATTTACTCATATAACACTTTACCCAAATTTTAATGAGGTGGTTAAAAAATAAATTAGTCTTTAAAAGTTTCCCAGTGAAACCAAGAACACGTCATTATTAGTAAAAGAAAGTTCCCTAGAGGTTGAAATTGCATTACACTTAAATTGTATTCTGTGCAATGGCTAATGATATGGATAGACTTAAACTCATTAAACCCCCCACAACAATCCTACTATCATTGGTGAAGAGCAGCCATTGATAATCCCCCTCCATCATTAGCAGGCATTGGCCCTTTAATTCTTCCACCAAAGCAATTCCACAACATTGGTGGTCAATGGCCCTTTAAACACCCCCCAACTTTTGATTTCTCCTTCCTTGCTGCAGCCAGGAGGATTTAATGAAATGATTCATTCAATGAATCTTCTGTTCACCCTTCCTCTGTTGTGAGAGGATAGGGAGGGCTCGCCAATGTAAACAGTACTATATTTGTGATCACTTTGATTGGTCATAGCACTCATATGGTACAGAGCCACTTTCAATTACTCTGTACCTTTTGCCTGTGATCTGCTTTTCCCAGTCATAGTAGATTACAGGCATGCACGCAATCAAGGTTATAGAGGTATGTCTACCCAATGTAATGAGTGTGTCAACTGCTGTTGCATTACAACTGTCAGCTGTAAAGTGGTTAAGAAACAACAAAAGGTAGATAACAAGAAATACAATAGTTTATATCAGTCTTTTTCAACCTTTTTACGAAATATTAGCCCTTGACATAATTTTCAAGTCTCAGGAGACCCCTGCTAAAATGTATTTACTTACATTGACTTGGCACTTACATTAATGAACAAAAAATCATCTTATGCATCTTACATACACTCACCGGTCACTTTATTAGGTACACCTACTCAATTGCTTGGTAACACAAATTGTTAATCATAAATTTAGGCACCTAGACTGGGAGTAGACGACTTGCTGAAGTTCAAACCTAGGATCAGAATGGGTAAGAAGGAGATTTAAGTGACTTTGAATGTGGCATAGTTGTTGGTGCTAGACAGGCTGGTCTGAGAATTGAAAAAACTGCTGATCTACTGGGATTTTCATACACAAAAATCTCTAGGGTTTACAGAGAATGGTCAGAAAAAAGAGAAAATATCCAGTGAGGGACAGTTGTGTAGACAAAAATGCCTTGCTGATGTCAGAGGAGAATGGGAAGACTGGTTCAGTTGCGACATTCAGATGATACGGTCAGAATTTGGCATAAACAATATGAAAACATGGATCCATCCTGCCTTGTATCAATGGTTCAAGCTGGTGGTGGTTGTATAATGGTGTGGAGGATATTTTCTTGACACTAGAAAGGTGTGCCTAATAAAGTGGCTAGTGAGTGTGTGTATATATATATATATATATATATATATATATATATAGTATATATAGATATATGGAACCATGCGAGCAAGAAAAAATAGGTGGATACAAGAGTTAAATAAGAAGCCTTAAGATATACAGATAAAGGGGGGGGCGTGGCCGGCCGCGGAAGGAGATGGCAGCTCAGTAAGAGAGCTCCCGGAGCCGCCGAGATCTGCAGCCCAGCTGAAGCAACGAATGACAGCGGGGGGACCCGCCAACATCACAGTAAGCCCTCGGAAAGAGGGGGGCACTGGGGAGGTAAGATGGGGAAGAGAAAAAATAAGGAGGGGCCCTCAAATTGACAGAGTTTTTCACTCCGGCAGAAGGCCCCTCCCCTCAAGATGGCGCAGGTCTCTGCTCCTCTCCCGGGTTTCAAGGACACGTGAGGGGGGATGACAGCTCTTCTCCACTCCACCCAGTCCAGCACAGACTGCAGGCTCTGCTCAGTCTCCCCTACAAATAGCCCACAGAAGCAAATAAATACTAATATATATAAATACTGTATAATAATAATTAGAGATGAGCGAATTTTTCAAAAATTCGATTCGGCTGATTCGGCGAATTCCAGGAAGAAATTCGATTCGATGCAAATTAATTTGCTACGAAGTTAACTTATAAAAAGGGTTTCTAGGCTTCAGAGAGCCTTTAAATTAGTGCAGAACACTGTACCTTTAATTTAAATGCCCTTGGAGATGAGGAAGGAGAAGGAGAAGGAGAAGGATGAGAAGAAGGAGAAGGATGAGAAGAAGGAGAAGGAGAGAGAAGGAGGAGAAGGAGAAGGAGAAGGAGAAGGAGGAGAAGGAAGAAGGAGAAGGAGAAGGAGAAGGATGAGAAGAAGGAGAAGGATGAGAAGAAGGAGAAGGATGAGAAGGATGAGAAGAAGGAGAAGGATGAGAAGAAGGAGAAGGATGAGAAGAAGGATGAGAAGAAGGATGAAGAAGAAGGAGAAGGATGAAGAGGAGAAGGAGAAGGATGAGAAGAAGGATGAGAAGAAGGAGAAGATGAGAAGAAGGATGAGAAGAAGGAGAAGGATGAGAAGAAGGAGAAGGATGAGAAGAAGGAGAAGGATGAGAAGAAGGAGAAGGATGAGAAGAAGGACAGTTCTGTGACAGTTTCTGTCTATTTCTGACAGTTCTGTGACATTCACTCCATACAGCGGTTTCAACCGCTGTATGGAGGGAATGTCCCAGAACTGTCAGAAATAGTCTATTTCTGACAGTTCTGGTACATGTATGGAGTGAATGTCCCAGAACTGTCAGAAATAGTCTATTTCTGACAGTTGTGGGACATTCCCTCCATACAGCGGTTTCAACCGCTGTATGGAGGGAATGTCCCAGAACTGTCATAAATAGTCTATTTCTGACAGTTGTGGGACATTCACTCCATACAGCGGTTTCAACCGCTGTATGGAGGGAATGTCCCAGAACTGTCAGAAATAGTCTATTTCTGACAGTTGTGGGACATTCACTCCATACAGCGGTTTCAACCGCTGTATGGAGGGAATGTCCCAGAACTGTCATAAATAGTCTATTTCTGACAGTTCTGGGACATTCACTCCATACAGCGGTTGAAACATTGTATCTATTTGTTTCCATAAATGGATCCATTTATGGAAACAAATAGATACAATGTTTCAACCGCTGTATGGAGGGAATGTCCCAGAACTGTCAGAAATAGTCTATTTCTGACAGTTGTGGGACATTCACTCCATACAGCGGTTTCAACCATGAGGATGAGGATGAGGCTGTATGGAGGGAATGTCCCCAGAACTGTAGAGGAACTCTGCACATACACTTTTTGCCGGCTTGGAATTATTTCTTATTTTCATCCTACTTCTTCTTCTCCTTCTTCATCCTCTTCTTCTTCTTCTGAGGATGAGGATGAGGATGAAGAAGAAGAAGAAGAAGAAGAAGTAGGATGAAAATAAGATTAATTCCAAGCCGGCAAAAAGTGTATGTGCAGAGCTCCTCTAAGTGTATCTGTAGAGGAATCTGCAGAGCTCCTCTAAGTGTATCTGCAGAATAGAGGAACTCTGCACATACACTTTTTGCCGGCTTGGAATTATTCTTATTTTCATCCTACTTCTTCTTCTTCTTCTTTCTTCTTCTTCATCCTCATCCTCATCCTTTTCTTCTTCTTCTGAGGATGAGGATGAGGATGAAGAAGTAGAAGAAGAAGAAGAAGTAGGATGAAAATAAGAATTCCAAACCGGCAAAAAGTGTATGTGCAGAGTTCCTCTATTTCTGACAGTTCTCTGACAGCTTCTTCACATGTACAGCGGTAGAAGACAGACGTAGAAGAAGAAGAAAATAAGAATTCCAAACCGGCAAAAAGTGTATGTGAAACATCTGTATCCTAAATGGAAACTAATAGATACAATGTTTCAACCGCTGTACATGTGTTCCTTCTGTCAGAGAACTGTCAGAAATAGCGGAGCTCTCTGCAGGGACACTTTTGCCGGCTGATCGGGAAAAATCCGATTCGCGCACCCGAAGTAGGCAAATATTCGGATTCGACGCGAATCAAATTCTTCCTGAAATTCGTATCGAATTCCGGTTCGCCTGGTTCGATTCGCTCATCTCTAATAATAATAATAATAATAGATTCAGCAAAGCGCTGTGCACATACGGTATGTTTTGTTTATGTGTGATCATTTGGACTGGAAGTATAACCTCTCTATATTTGCTACCCTTGATATTTTAAGCATATATTGGTCACGATCAATGAGCCTCTTTGTTTTTCTTTGCTTGCAACTTTATGTGCGTATGTATGTTATAGTGCTCAGAAAAAGATGTGCTTACTTTCTATTCTGAACCTGCAATGTTGTTGATATATTTGTGTTTAAAATTTTATAAAAAAAGATTTGAAAAGATATACAGATAAAAATAGATACAAGAAATCTGTAAAGCCTCAGTCACCAAAACTTGGAATATTAATGCATATTTTTTAGCCTACAAAATCTCTGCATCCATCTTGATGACAATCAAAGTACTATTGAGCCCTCTACTTTTTAAAGCAATTCCAGTAGCAATAAAGAACTTACTTTGTATTCCTCCACTTTGTATGTCTCCAATTCACATGTCCAATCTTGCCTTTTCCACATTTTTATACTGTCCACTCAGCACTGAACCCCGTTTCCTGTTTGAGGGTGGCTCCTTTCCCTCAGAGAGAATGACAGAACAATTCTACGATATGTGCTCCCAGCATAAGAACTACATACTTGTGTGAGGACACTGCATGAACCATCATGCACAAGCACCATCCCAGGTTGCTGACTTAATGGGATGTCTTTTTGCTCAATTGCTGAATGTTTCTTTGCTGAATATATGGAGATGTCTCTTTGCTTAATATTTGGAGTTGTCTCTTTGCTAAATATTGGGGCTATGTCTTTGCTGGGTATTTTGGATTGTGTCTTTGCTGAATATTTGGGGCTGTCTCTTTGAATTTATGTGGATGTATCTTTGCTGAATATATGGGGATGTCTGTTTGCTGAATATATGGAAATGTCTCTCAGATAAATATTTGGTGATGTTTCTTTGCTGAAAATATAGGTATGTTTCTTTACTGGATATTTGGATCTGTCTCTTTGCTGGATATTTGAGAATGTCTCTTTTCCTCTTTTCTGGCTATTTTGGGATGTCTCTTTGCTGGATATTTGGGGATGCTACTGATGTGAGAAGCAAGTGGAGAAGCAGAGAAGATACATATGACCAGAATGCTGAAATTGTCTGGAAGTGCCTATGAGCTTACTTTGGTAAGTGCTAAATATTTCTACTTTTTTGCACATTTTACTGCCTTGTTTTTCATTAACAAATTCCATACAAATTACTTGTATAGCTCCCAAAATTATACTTAGTTCCCTGTTCTCTAAAGGGGGTAGTTCTAGGGGGCAGTTCCAGGGGCAGCTAGGGGCATTACCTAGGAGAGGGAGGGTGAGTTCTTGCACCGTTTCTCTGAGAAGAAAATCCCTGTTTACTCTATACATACTGTACATAGTTTTGAGTTTATAATACTCTAATCACTATTACACAACTAGATCTAAACTCTCTCATATTTTTACATGCCCTTCTTCTTTGTCCGATTTATCTTTTCTTGCTTCATATCCAGTAAATTTTTGCTTGTTGTAAATCTCTTTAATGTCGCAAAAAGTAACATTTTATTTACAATTTAGGTATTTGTTTCTCTTCCAATTTAAATGTTTGTTTATTGTACACTTGAACACGGACTGATTCTTGTGTATATGATTACTTTGGTTTAGTTTAGCGTATCTATGCACTCAAAAAGAACAATGCAGCTGTTGTATTTAATATTACTTTTATTTTTTTAATTTGGGTTTCCACTCATTTACCTAAATTTTTTTTTTTGAGCATGTATTAGCTCTTACCCTTTGGTAAACCTCTTCCCCCAATAGGTATCCTCTTGAGCTTTTAAATTTAATTTCCCTAATAGGGCCCTTTTATTGTCTTTTTTCCCCTCAATCCCTTTCTTAATATCTTCCTTTTTTTCTACTTTTTTCTATTCTTTCTTTTCCTTTACTGGTGTACAGCGGGTGAGCTATTACTTGATATTACATTCTTTGACTTATGCAACACCATCATGACATCTCTTAAATTTGGGTCCCTTAATGTTAGGGGACTTAATGTTCCACAAAAATGCACTCAATTTTTATACCATATGCATAAACAAAAAGGACAGGTCCTATTTTTACAAGAGACCCACTTTGAATCTTCTTGATTTCCATCCATGCCTACCCACTACTATTCTAAATGGTTTCTGAGTAACAATCCTTTAGGGAAATCCAAAGGTGTAACCATTGGCTTTCATTCCTCTTTTCCAGTTTCATTTACAGTTGTGTCCAAAATTATTCAACCCCCACTGAAATTGAGTGTTTTGGCCAGTTTGACATTGCTTTTGATCATTCAGTCATCTTGCTTACATTTACATTAAAGAGGCACTTGTAGGTCAGACAAATATAACATAACAGTTATAATGAAATAACCACAAATGTCTTTTCTGTGCTCACAGCATTATCAGTTTTATTCAACCCCAAGTGACATTCAATCTTAGTACTTAGTACAGCATCCTTTTACAGTTATAACAGCTTTTAAACGTGAAGCATAGCTTGACACAAGTGTCTTGCAGCGATCTACGGGTATCTTCGCCCATTCTTCATGGGCAAAGGCCTCCAGTTCAGTCACATTCTTAGGCTTGCGCACTGCAACTGCTTTCTTTAAGTCCCACCAGAGGTTCTCAATCGGATTTAAGTCTGGTGACTGCGATGGCCACTCCAAAATGTTCCAGCCTTTCCTCTGCAACCATGCTCTAGTGGACTTGGAGGTATGCTTGGGATCATTGTCCTGTTGAAAGGTCCAACGTCTCCCAAGCCTCAGGTGTGTGTGACGGACTGCATCACGTTTCCATCCAATATCTCCTGGTACTGAAGAGAATTCATGGGTACCTTGCACACGCTGAAGCTTCCCTGTACCTGCAGAAGCAAAACAGCCCCAAAGCATGATTGACCCTCCACCATGCTTCACAGTAGGCAAGGTGTTCTTTTCATCATAGGCCTTGTTCTTCCTCCTCCAAACATAGCGTTGATCCATGGGCCCAAACAGTTCTAATTTTGTTTCATCAGTCCACAGAACACTATCCCACAACTTTTGTGGTTTGTCCACATGGCTTTTGGCATACTGCAGTCGACTCTTCTTATTCTTTGGAGACAGCAAGGGGTACGCCTGGGAGTTCTGGCACGGAGGCCTTCATTACGCAGTGTGCGTCTTATTGTCTGGGCTGAAACTTCTGTACCCACATCTGACAAATCTTTTCTCAGTTCCTCAGCAGTCACACGGGGACTTCTCTCCACTCTACGCTTCAGGTAGCGCACAGCAGTCGAAGTCAGCATCTTCTTCTGCCACGAACCCAGGTAGCGTTTCAACAGTGCCCTTTGCTTGAATTTGCGAATGATGCTTCCTAAGGTGTCTCTTGGTATGTTTAACATCTTTGCAATCTTCTTATAGCCATTGCCCTTCCTGTGAAGAGAATCACCTCTTCTCTTGTCTTCCTGGACCATTCTCTTGCCTTCACCATGTTTGTAACCACACCAGTAAATGTCTAGAAGGAGCTGAGTATCACAGTCATTTTAAAGCTGCCTAATTGGTGCTTATTAATGCTTGCTTGATGCTGCTCGGTGACATCCACAGGTGTTTTCAATCTCCTGATGGAAAGCACCTGTATGAACCTCTAGGTTCTTCAGAGTGGTAGTCTTTAAGGGGTTGAATAATTGTGGCAATGAAGAAACCACAACCATTTACTACTGTATTACATAAACAATTGATGTCATTTTAGTTGCATTTGGGTAGTTACAACGTCCTTGTAGGATTTGATTCTGAATACAATTCCAAATGTACACTATTAGTCCCTAAACCCCTTTACAGCATTGGGGTTGAATAATTTTGGACACAACTGTATTCATGAACTTGTTGACCCAGGTGGCAGATTCCTTATTCTTAAATGTAAGATTTGACTCAGTTAGCACTCTTCAGCCTCGATTGGCTCTCAGATTTGGTCAGATCATTTTCCAATTTTTTTTCCATTACTTTTTCAGCTTCTTGGTGACCTAATGAGACTCTTAATAATAATGTTCAGACTCATGCTAAAATTCAAAATACAATTTCTCACTTTTTACAAGACCACATTTCAGATACAATAGCTGCCCCACTGAAATGGGAAGCCCTGAAAGGATATTATTATTATTAGAGGTATCCTGATTTCCAAAAGTACAAGCCAAAAAAAAGAGCAATCTGCAAATATAACCAAGCTATTACATGACCAAAAAATTCAACATAAACATCTAGATGAAGCTAAATTATTTC